TGAGACAAAGTATATGTGAACTGCTGTATGAAAAGTGAATTTACTCTGTAAATCTTCACCCAAATCCTAATAAAAAAAAAATTTTTTTTTTGAATGAGATGCATTCTTTCTGAATCATCCATATGCAAGAGGCTTGTGCAGGAGCTCTGCTGGCATAGTGCCTAAGGCATTTGACTGCTAACCAGAAGGCTGGCGGTTCAAACCCACAAACCACTCCTCAGAAGGATGGTTGGGCAATCTACTTCCATAGTAATACTGCCTCAGAAATCCAAGGAGGAGTCGCTATGAGTCGGATCCAACTTGACAGCAGTGAGTGTGTGAGTGTAAGGAGTCCTGGTGGGACAGTGGGTAAGCACTCAGCTGCTAACCAAAAGGTTTTGGCAGTCTGCTTTCATAAAGATGTATAGCCTTGGAAGCTCCATAGGGTAGTATCTATTCTGTCCTTTAGGGTCACTATGGGTCAGAAATGACTCAATGGCAATGGGTTTGGTTTGGTTTGGTGGTGTGCAAGTATGTCTAGGGCCATACTTGAAGCTGTTTTCTTTTTGAAATAGTGTATGTGTGAGTTCTTAGAGCCCTTGCTTTTCCCCTCGATCAGCACTATCGGTTGCTTACAATGCAGAGTCTGTCACTTCCACTCTCTCACCAACAGTCTCCTTTCACAAATATGACTTATTTGTCCATGTTCAACTTCACATTTCCTATATCACTAATCTTTGTGATAAATGGGTGTAGGAAACTCTTGCTTCACCTTGCTTGCCTGTTCTCATTATTTATTCAAAAACTTGTTTGTCTTAGCCCTCAAGATGGGGCATTTTCTTTGGAGAACTATGTCACTCTACTTTTGTATAAGCTCTGTAGCCCTAGGCATCCTCTCTCATATTCTTGTTTGACTCTCACTGTATTTTGTAGCCTTTCTTCACAGACTGTAGTCCAGGCTAATAGATGTCTCTAATTTCTTTGAAAATAAAATTTGTCTATTTTTCATTTTCTTTGTAGTTTTGAGTTAAAGAAGGATATTTTTATTTTACCATTTAAAAATCAAAGCTTAAATTATTCTTTACACTTTATCTAAAATTTGTATGTATTTAGAGAATGTGTGTGTGTGTGTGTGTGTGTATTGTTTGAGTATGGGGAGGCGATAAGAGGTATTTCAGTATCTCCTCAATACAATGTTAC